AGGGATCCCTAACCTTTGCCACCAGCTTTCGCGGGCCTGTTGTCCGACCTTTGCGACGGTTCGGGGGCAAACGAGTACAAAGGCTTTGGCTTCGGGGGATCTATAACTTTTCCGTAATAGATTGATTGATTGATTGATTAATTGATTGATTGATTGATTGGGGTGTGATCCAGGAATGAGGAGATCTTATCGCGATCCAAACTGTACAGGTTTCATACACAGTTACAGCATCAATCAATCAATCAATCATCACTCACTCCCTCCCTCACTCACTCACTCACTCACTCACTCACTCACTCACTCACTCAATCAATCAATCAATCGATTAATCAATCAATCAATCAATCAATCAATCAATCAATATCAATTAATCAATCAATCAATCAATCAATCAATCAATCAATCAATCAATCAATCCCGGTCCGCTGATAGCGAGCAAATCGACAACAGGTCGAATGGTGCTTATGTCATAGTACACAATACACATCCATCAAGAATTGTAACCAACTGGCCTACCTCAGTTGGTACACAAACGAGCTCTTGAAATGCGGACCTGAGTTCGACTTCTAATGGAATCTGATGAGTGAAAAAAAATAACTCAGAAGTTACCTCCATCGGGCTGCTCAGCTCAAATGATATCTCCTTCACGAATTCCACCTTATCCATTTTTTTACTTTTTTCACTCCGTATGGGTTCAATCACCTCCAATCAGTCAATTATATTGATTTTGTCCGATCCACTTCGTAATCCGGGATTCCTTAGATGCCAGCAAATCGACGACGGTTCGAATCACGGTAAGCTTGCGCATTAATCGACTCACGAGTGACACGAGCCAATCAAAAGTCTTAGAGTGTTGGGTTCATTCGATGGGAGCAAATTGACGACGGTTGGAATCGTGCTCAGCTTGTGCGGATTAATCGACTACGCGCCAATCAAACGAGTGATGGGGTGTAGGATGATTTCAATCTCTCATTAACAGTATCCATCCATCCACTCATCATCCATCAGTAATCTGATCTCATCCGTTGATTCATCAATGTTTGGATATGATTCGTTGATCTATCATTTTAATTTTTTTTTGTTATTATTAATTTTTTTAATCCTTAATCTATCCGTGGCCGCTCGATCCAGTCCATAATACACCTGTACTGACCTGCGCGTTTTTTTTTTTTTTTAAGGGCGACGGCCTTGAGATATCATCGTGAAACTGACCGGGCAAACGTTAATCACGAATTTCGTTCATCTGGTTCCATCTGTAGATTCGATCTTCCGTCTGCATTTCAAAAGCTTATGACTCTGATGGAGCCAGACGGGTTTTGATTGGTACCCATTTTATTTTTTTTTATGGGTGTACCAACGGAGCTAAACTTGTTGGTGACTTACGGGTCTGAGTCTGATCCCTTCATCATTTAGTTTTTATTTCAATCGATTAACTTTAAAATCAGGGGTGATGTAAAAAAAAAAAGAAGAAAAAAAAAAACATGGATACCCATCAAAATCCTATCTAAAAATTAAAAAAATCAAACTAAATCCACCCCCTCGATGGATTGAAAACAGGATAAGACGCATGAATTCGTCCACATTTTTGGATTCATTGAAATCCATCTCCTTTACTGTCCACCAGATCCGTAAATAAGTTGATACCCTGCAAAAAAAAAAAAAAAAAAAAAAAAAAAAAAAAAAAAAAAAGCTTTCATCCGCTGTGTTGAATCCTCGTACTCAATCTCCATAAAATCCAGAAATTAATTTATCATCCATCAATAAAAGTGCAATAATGCCAATAACCCATGCCATACGTCTCGTGGAAAGACTGAGGGCCAACTCGGCCGCCCTCAGCCCAGGGGCAAAAGACCCCACAGGAGGACTCAGGGCCTGGACGTGCGGCAGTTGACTTGGTCAACTGTCGGGATCCCAACAGTCAAAGTCCAAAGGTACCTCGCCCAGGCCGCTGGTCAAGCACACACACTTGTTTGTATGCAGGTACCCAGACAGCATCAGGTCCAAGGGAGAAGTCTGCATCTGCACAATCTGGGCCCTCAGCTGTGAGTCAATCTGGACTACGGTGGGAAAAGCACCCGAGGCCGGACAGCCTTGACCAATGCTACTTAAGGCTGGCCTCGAGTGAGTCAAGCATTCAGTCGTGCTATGATGCTTTGACGCTGGCTCGACTTTGACTAGATGCTGGCTTCATGCTGGCGCGATGCTGGCTACACACTGGCTGTGCGCAGGCGTTGCGGACGACAGCGCAAGGTGGAGGCAGCACACTGGCGCTTCTTCTGTGCGCCAGGCAATGCTGATGTGCACCAGGCAATGCTGATGTGGCGCTGCCTCTGGTCTTC